CTCGTAAAACAATAGTGAACTCGAACAAGCATCTTGGGTAGTTTGTGCTAGCGATCGATATCCCCTCACTTGTCCTTCTCCGGCATGCTCTTGTCCTGTCGAATTCGCAGTAAGCCGAATGTCCAGAGTGCAGAATTGATTGCACAGGCTCTTTCTTCTTGTTAGAGCCTTTCGTAATTAACTTCAGGTAACCTAACGGTCGCCCACATACTTGCTCCATTGGCGTGCATATATCGAAGTAGGCAGGAGGCAGTAGTCTTCAGGATTCGGCAGCAGCACTCTGGAGGGAGCGCTGCAGGAGTAGTAGTAGCATTAGCCTTAGTCTTCAGCGCTGGGCGCAGTAGGTAGCTGTAGTCTTCAGCGCTGGGCGCCATAGCTAGGATAGCACTAGAGAGAGAGAGAGATTGGGCGGAGGCCAGAGGTACCTACCTGCAGCGCCGTTGCTCCAGCTTCGTCTTCGAGGTACCTGCAGCACAGCGCCAACTTCACAGGTTAGTACTTGGCTCGTGACAGAGAGAGAGAGAGTTCTTCTTCTTCCTCTTCTCAGTCCACCATCTCCCTCTCACCCTCTCATTATCTGACTTCACTGCATCAGCAGACTACGAGAGAACGAGAGAGAGAGAGAGAGAGCTTGGTGACATTGGATCCAGACTCGACTTTTGGGCTTCAGACATTTCAACGAGGGATTATTTGGGACTGGTGACAAGGACTTGGTGTCAACGACATTCCCATCTCCCCCCCCTCTTCTTCGTCTGATCCCCTCCTCTTCGTCTGTGTATGTCTGGACCTGGCGCTTCCTCTCTGTGTATAGCGCCAGGCTCCTTCACACCTTGTGATGAGCATGATGTATGTTTGGTCTACGTTGAAACATTGATTGGGCTAGTCATCAGTATTCTGGCATTCTGCTTCGCTATCTTGTACTACGTGATAAAGGTCAGTCTCGGTCAGGTCAGGTCTTGTATCTAAATCTTCCCTGCGCTTTGAATCAACACCATTTTGTATGTATCGGAATGCACATTGCTAGTTGAGATTCCACTTGCACAGCATTGTCCATTCAGTCCTTTTTATCACATTGCGGATCCTTGGTTATTATGTACATCGCCCATCTGGGCATGTAACATTTGGGGTGGGGGAGGGGCTAGACGAGGTGTTCTATGTCCATTCCGTTGGGTCAATCTCTAGGTTGCAAACGCTTTGTATACTCTGTTTCTTTCTCCTTCTATGACTCTGATACTTCTCAGGTTATTGGTTTTGAATGCTCCTTCTGCTCTGCTTATGTTATGAATGTAGCTTGCCAGGTTTCCTGGTTCCTCTTAAGGTGTAAATGTTGCAGCCGATCCAGCTGTCGTTGTGGGATTCGTAGTTCTTGAAGAAAAGGACTTCCTGAGTTGATGGGGAGTCAATTGTGGTAGCCCAGTCTCCATATTGCCATTTTTGGTCTGATTTTAGTAGGATTCTCCAGTGTAGAGGAATTGAGTCTATGATGTGATTTAAGTTGGTTTGGAGGTGATATACTGCTTTTAGTTTGCCTCGTAGGTCTTTTTCTGATTTCCAGGTTTTGTTCGGGACATCCCATATGTGTTTGATTTGCCATATTCCCTTTTCTGGCCAGTGTCCCTATCTGGTTTCCGATTTGGAGAGTGGGAGGTTTTCACTTTATCGTTTTTTAGCAATGGGTTGCCAAAAAGGGGTTGTCTGAGGACTTCATCTTTCTTCTTTAGGCCTTTCTGTTTTCTGGGAAGATGATTTTCCAGGTGTGTAGGATTTGCTCCCAACGGGATTTGGTCTGGGAGCTGTCGTTGGTGTTATCCTGGAGTACTTCATCGGTCTGTCTCTGTTTCCCTTTTGGGAGTGGGCAAGCTTTGTTGAAAATCCAGAAGAGGCCTGTGATGTTGGATGGAGAGGTGAATCGTGCTAATTCTTTGATGTGGTTTAGAACTAGTGGGAACCACTGCAGGTTGTCCTGGACGGTTAGTTTTATGACCCATTTGATTTGTAAGGCCTGAATTTGACGGGTTGGATCCATAAGACCGAGGCCTCCTTTGCTTTTTAGGCTGGTGGCTAGTTGTCAGGCCACCTTGTGGATAAAGTGTTGTTTGTCTGGGGTACCTGTCCACAGAAATGCTGCTACTTCCTTCCTCAATTGGCTCCGGAAGTCGATCGAGTTATTGAGCGCCAGTATCCTCCCTAGTAGGGAAGGATGTGTGGCTTTCCAGGCGTGGATTGTGTTAACCATTGAAGAAAGAAGTGTTGCTGCTGAAGCTCAGTGGCATCCTTTGAGGTTAAGGTTGATGCCCAGGAAGTGTATTGGCGAGTCTGGATCTGTCCATTGTAAACCTGGCGGGAATAGTTCTATTGGGGGGGGGGGGGGGGGGGTCCGTGGTCACTAGCCTATTGTTATTGCCCAGTTAACCTTCAGTTCTGAAGCCAGTTGGAATGTTCGCATTGCTCTTGCCAGGGCCTCAAAGGAGGAGTTTGATGCCCTGATGAGTACTGTGAGATCATCAGCAAATAGGAGAGTGGTAGGGATGTGGAGGGGTTGTCCTCGTTCGTCCTTGATGTTCTCGATCCTCGCGATGAATACGTCTTTTCTCAGGAAAGCGGCGATGGCCTCCATGACAAAAAGGAAGATTGGTGCAGCTAGGGGGTCCCCTTGTCTTACTGACCTTGTATGGATTCGAGAGGAAGTCGTTGACCTAATCTTGTGTTCTTCTTATTTTCTTCTTTCTTCATTTTTCTTCACTGCTGATCTACACCCACTTCTCCCGTTGTCATGTATGGCGTTGTCTCAAAATTGTCTTGCATCATCAACTGAGCAGGAGCATCGCACCTACAGATGTCCCATCAGACTCCTCGTTGTTCCTCTTCTTATCCTCCTCCTTTCCCCTTGTCATGACCATAGTAACTGTCATGTTTTTCTCCCTTCTCTCTTCCACTTCCAACACGTCCTTAGCGATTGCCAAGAACAGACTGCGGGCTTGTGGAAACAGGCAATTTCTTTTGAACTGTCATTGACTTTGGTTCATCTACTTCATGATGCATGTATATGACAAGCTTCATCACATGTCATTAAGAAAAGTGGGAACCGAAACAATAAGCATGCTTGACCAAAGAATACCTTTCTCGGCCTTCAGGCTCAGATCAAGTGTAGTATGTGTTCTGATCAGTTTAATATCTGATCTGTGGTCCACCGAAAAAAGAAAAGAAAAAAAGGAGTAAGAACTTCCGAAAAAGAAAGCATGCTTGACAACAACAGCAGCTCTGCAGGATTCTCCAATTCTTACCTAAGACACGAAGCTCTGCAACCGCACGGGCAACCACAATGTCAAAGAATTCACGAGTCTCCGGAGCAGCGCCCATGGCCTGATTTAATCCAGCCAACACAAACCAGCATCAAACCCCCATTGCATAGGACTAGGACTAGGATTACCACACGACAATGATTCACAGTTAAATGATGCAGATTTCTGCACCATTGAAAGGGTGAAAGGGAGAGATTACCTATACACAGCGATACATGGCCAATATCTGGCAATCCCTGACTGGTTTGGCGCCTACCAGCTGACAGGTCAACTGGTTGGCAGCCATGAGTTGGGGGGCTGTTGGCCCTCTCCAAGGTGGCTGTTTTAGGGGTGGGATGGCTCCGGCTGCCTGGAAGCACCATCAGGTCGCTGTTGTGGGTGCCCAGGCCCCGACTGAACCACGCCTGGCACATGCCTCATTGCTCAAGCACAAAGTTTGAGTTGAAAGGTGAGCAGCAAAGGCATGTGCCCCCGGTGACTTCTTCTTCTTCTTCATCATCATCATCATCGGTAAGCCACAACTTTTGACTGCTATAATGTGCTATTCTATGTTTGCAAAGACCTTGGGCTATTGCCCATTGGAAGCTTCCATAGGACGGTAATACATGGAGGATAATAGTTTTGTGCCAGATTCATATAAACCTGCTGGTTGAGCCTTTGCAAATGGCAAATTTGCAGACAAATTCTTGTAGTTTTAAATTTTTGAGAGAGGTCCCTGTCCCTGAAAATTACGTTGTATCACCTGACATCAGAAGAAGTTGCAAATGGCTCCCAGATTACCCTATTTTGACCACTACTTGGTCTGCTTCTAGTCGAATCCAGTTATATAGATGACTGTCCTAACATCCACAGTTTGGGAACTTTGGGGTGATATTGTGGCTCAGCAATGCAAGATCTGAATCGCTGCAGACTGAAATATCATTTTATGAAGGTGATGGTGGCGTCTCCCGCCATAAATAGTAAATACGCATAGCACAGATAGCAGTTGCTTCCCAGCACCTGCCAGCAGTCTCTCGCAGAATGCTGGCCTCAGCCTTGAAAGTCGCAGGGAGCAGCCAACCTCCCAGCACCTACATCTACAATAATCGGAGCATGGGTGGTTGTGGTGACACAATATCAGTTTTTGCCACTTTTTGGCTATTACCACCACCATTACTACTACTAAGTTTTGCTTTAGTGGAAGTAGGTGCTGGTACCAGATGGACGGTCTACCCACGTGTAAGTGGGTATAACCAGTCATCTGGAGGAGCGGAGGATTTAGCTATCTTTAGTCGGTTTTGTCACACAAAGCTTGGGGCCTGCTTCTCCGAACCTCAGCAAGTGGGCAATCCACAGCATTAAACCTCCACTGTCCCTGGCCAGTACCCCAGGTCGCACCAAAATACACAGGGGCAGCAAGGAGGTCCAGTGGCAGACAGGCTGCAGCGTAGGGCGGCACAAAAGAAATTGCACTCACCGACTTCCACCATCAGATCATGATCTCCACAGTAAGAGCCCATTGTGACACCTGAGGTTTTGCAACGCCAGGGCCAAGCAACAACGGCTTCCACAAACGAGGTTCAATGACAGTGGTGGTTTCACACCAACCCGTCGCTGGCTCGAATTCTTACCTATACGGAGTGCAAGCAGACGTGGTCTGTTGTGCCTCATCAACCTGAGTTGTGGGCAAACAACAGGTTCCACAAAAGAGGTTCACTGACAGTGGTGGTTTAACAAATTAACACCAGTCGTCACTGGCTGGAGTTCTAACCTACACCGAGTGCAAGCAGACGTGGTGTGTTGTGCGTCATCAGTCCGAGTTGTGGGCAAAGCTGTATGGCCTGTCAGGCTCACACCCCTAAACTCTTGGCTCGCCCGTGAACTCTTAACTGATAACGCTTCATTACCTCAACTCAGGTGTTTCCAAGGGTGCTTCCCCCCAAAGGGATGCGAGCACACCCAGCAAACCAAGATGCCAACGGTTGTTGTGGTATCGTTCCATTCACCCCAGTGCACATCATATCCACCAGGCTTTGCCAACGTGAGATATGCAGCCTTCCAGCCATTAGGCAACCAAACAGAGAGGTCAAGGGGTTAGAAGTCCTCCTAATTCCTTTCGTCCGCTTTCTAATGCATGTGTCCATCACCCCAGTGAACTCGACAACATGCAAAAGCGAAGAAGATG